CCACGAAGCCTTTATAAAAGTAGTGCCTTTCGGAGGAGAGGATGGGAGATAAAGAAGCTCGTTGTATCTAGATTGACATTGTATTTATATTGCAGCATTGGTTCTTTGTTTTATAGCATCTTTTAAAGGAAAACATTTAAATATAGGGTGAGCCTGGGAATTCTTGAGTTTCAACCTCAGCTATTCCTGATTCGTCCTTTCTTGCAGAAAGTCTTTGTTTTTTTCCTGCCCCAAGCGTCCCCATTGTTAAAATGAAAGTTAGGGGGAAGGAGGGCAGACGTTAATTTCACAGGAATGTTGGAGGAATACCTTAGTTGGGATGTCTAGAAAATACTCTGATTTTTTTTTAAAGTGCTACACACTGCCAGTGCTAAGAATTTTGCCGATAGGAACTTTGAACATTCCAGGTTTTCAATATTTATGTCTTTAGATACCACTTGCAAACTCATGAGGTTAGAGTCCATCAGTTGATTTTAATTGGAAGTATTAGGTGATCTTCGTCTAAATGTTATTTGGTCTTAGCCTGTAATTTTGATCATCTAAAAGCTTGTCTACAGAAGGAGGTTAGGAAGAGCTGACTGAAGTCTTATGTCAATAAACTTTTCTCCAGTATTTCTTATGGCAGACACGAGTAAGATGCCGTCCAAAGCAACGGCTACTCTCTCTTCTCAAGCTTTGCGCTCTGGAAAAATTTCCAGAGAAGAACCCAAACAGCCACTTTCCTCACTGGGAGGGCAGAAGTGAGAATAAAATATTTTCTGATCTCACAACACATTTCTTCAGAGTCTCATGGTCATCTACTATAGAGGAGGCACATTAAACGCACCGGTGTAGAAATGAATAGAACTGTTGATTTTTGGAGAGAAAACCTTGGATCTTTTTCGTAGATAATTAGTTTTTTCAGGAGTATTATATTTGCTTTCTCACCATCTTCGTGATTTAGTGTCTGTGAGTTAGTCATTACTTTTTTCTTGCCTACGAGGAAGAGCATGGACATTTAGATTTGTGAGAATATGAGGGAGGAAATATATTGTAAACTGGACAGTGGTCATTTCTGTGTATTAACTAAAACTTTGCCCCATGAATTTGGTAGAGGAGGGGGTATTTCACACATAGGGGTCTCTGTAGTAGGGCAACAGTGCAAATACCATCCCTTGCTCAGTTTTGGGGAATGATGACCTATTTCTTTCTCTCCTGTGCAGCCCCTCTGGAGTCTGGGCGAGGCAAACACAGTATGAGCTTTCGGTGGATTTATTTGTATTATGGTTTTTCTGAACTATCTAAAACCTAGGGATCAGTTGGAAGTGAATGAGAAAAACTGGGGCAGGGTTAAAAAAGATGAGGTTTGCACATACGCCACTAAGAAAAGGGAAGCTACTATGTTTGTTTTCTAAAACTTTTAAGGCTTTCATGTTCCTTTAATTCCAGAGGTTTAAAAAGGGCTGGAATTTGTCCCACAGCACTAGACATTTAGAAAATATTATTCATGTGAAAAATCCATACAGAAGTAGAACACAGAAATATCACAGGCACATTTTCTTACTCATTTTTAACATATGTAGAAGTTAAAGAGCAATTACTCTAAGACAAATTTTCATCTTTAAGGGACATTTACGGAAAGCCGGACATCAGTACTCATAGGCTATTGTGTTTTCCTGTCCGCCTGTTTGCTGGGAGAGTCTAAATAGTGGTCAGGTTTACTTTCTATTCAAATGTTCAAGATTAACTATTTACTCAGATAACTGTTACTTTGGGTAGCCGTGACAGCTGAGAAAAGGGAGGAAGGGACTCCCAACTCTGGAGGCTTGATTTAAGCAAGCTGATGTGCCAGCCCAGGGATCGCTGGAGTCGAGCCCCATCCACGCCTGACTTCTGTCAGGAGATGAATCCACACCCGGGAGTCTTGTGGGAACTGTGACCGTGATCTCAAAGGCTGTGGTTATGAATCTGAAGTTAACAAATGTACATCTTCTCTTACTGACTTAAGCCATATCTGTCATCTCTGTGTTTGATTTTTTTTTTTTTTACCCTGGTGCTTTTACCTCTGTTTTTGCCAAACTCCAGCCTACTCTGTGGGGAAGGTGAGTAAAACTGTAGTTAAGACAAATGTGAAGACTGAAAAAACTAAAACATCCTCTTCAGAGTGAGACCCTTAGACAACAGTAGTGATCAAAGTGCAAACTGTTGGGAAATATGGATATATGTACATCTGTACATGTATATAGTGTATAATATGTATGTATATGTTATTGCTCATATGCAGAAATCTATCCATTTGAAGACAGCCCAGGTGGGTTCGTTTTTCCATAGGAAAACCATTCAGGGCCATTCAAAATCATTAGGGCTGATGGGTAGAGATAGAGTCTACTCAATTAGGAATTATTTTATGTTTTGAAGTCCACAAAACCAAGTCAACAAAGCCTGCAACATAATGGGGCCATCGTTTAGGTGATTGTTTATATGGAGTCAGAAGTACCTTTATATTTGAATTATTAACAGTTGGTTTGCAAACGGCATTGGCATCTCTTGGTTTTGAATGACCCCTCCCCACCAAGTCTTTTGAGAGCTTGGAGTGGCTTCTCTGGCCATTCAGATAAAGGGCCTTATCCATAAGTGGACAGGTTTCCCCATAGAGACCATTACACATATACATATAAGTACATACTTCCATCCGGCTTGTAACAATTGGTTTAAAAATCACTCCACAGTATTGATAAATAGCTCTATATTTTCAAGGTGCAGAAGAATTCCACAGCCTTAATTATTTCAGTGTCTTGCTGGTCTGCCTTAAGTGTATCTTCTGGGTTTTGGTTGTCTTATTATTTTTAAATTTTTCTGCAGTTATTCATTTTGTATGCACACAATGTCGTTTTGTAAAGGTAGGTTGTAAATATTTTATTTGTAAGTCAAATTCACTCATGTGTAATGTTGTAAAGTGATGACCTGCTGTCTTGTTATTACTACAGTAAATGTTATAAGTTATGGATGAAACTTCAAAATGTACATCTCACAAGTTATGCATTCCTATAAATATACTATACTAAAGATCATTATTTCTGGTGGTCTTTTTTGTTTTCTTTCTAATTAAAATCTTTGTCCAAAAAAAGTAATGTTTTTCTCTCTTTCCCCAAATATATGGAAGCCTGTGACATGGTAAAAACATCACATTATTATTACAACACTTTTTGCCCAGGATTTTGTATAGAATGTAACAGTTTTGTAGCCTGGAGAAGCATTCTAAGGCATTTCTTTACACGCCCCCCCCATGCTGAATTAGCCTCAGGTGTGCATCGTTAACTTCATTCTAGTGTTTCACGTGGCAACTTTGTTAGCAAATTGGCAGGCCATTGGGGCTGGGTTTCACAGGTTCATGCATCATAGTGCAAACTCGAGGAATCTGGATTAGCCCAGGCAGATGTGGCCGGGCTTTGACTCTCTGCACCTGCCACCCGCGTGCAAAGACCCATTCACAGCGCGGTGGCCGCTGAGAGACTGAAGCGTTTTGACTGGCTCATTCTGCCAGTAAGAACAAAATGTTTTAATATTTGGCTTCTGTTTCATCAAGACTTGACCGCACTTACTTAAAATGAGAAACAATTGTCAACGCACGTGCTCTTCACACTGGCTGGTCAGCACTATTTCTTCAAGAGAAAATACAGACATACGTTAAAAACACTGAGATGAAATAAAAATCAATGTAACGAGCAACACTCATTAGCCCAATGGCTTTATGGGTTATTTAAAGTACTGCCTTCTACACATAATGAGAATTTCTTTCCCTTTAAGGGACTTATTTGTGAAGACCGAATACCCTGGGGCTTTCCCATTGTCAGACCAGGGTGCCCGCCGGATAGCCTGGTACCAGTCCATTCACTGTGCGCGCCCCG